TCTCTCTCTCTCTCTCTCTCTCTCTCTCTCTCTCTCTCTCTCTCTCTCTCTCTCTCTCTCTCTCTCTCTCTCTCTCTCACGCACACACACACACACGCGCGCATGCATGCACGCATGCACACACACACGCATGTACACACACACGCACACACGCACACACACACACACACAAGAAACACACACTTCCCCGCTGTGGGAGTATGTCTGAATGTTGTGAACATGCCACGTGAGTATGTGTGATTGTTGTGAACGGTCCAGACGGCACAAACCAACAGAAAGAGAGGTCGTTTTTATCCCACTGTTGTACGCACCGCTCCACATTTAGTCTCACTTGCATCACCATCTTGTCCCGAATAGAACGTACGGTCATTCTAGCCGTACCTAGACTGAAAGTTGCTCAAACTACAGCTATGACGACTGTATGTGCTATGCGGGGGTCCGGGGGATAATGGTAGTGTTAACAGTTTGCCTGTCTGTCAGTGTCTGAGGATCCACACTGGCAGTAGTGCTGACAACTTGACGGGTTTGACATTACGAACAAGCGTAGCCACGCCACGCGGGGCAGTAATGGTGACCTGTGGTTTGGGAAGACGGCTGCAGAAGCCGGAGGTTATAGCCCCCAGGTGCTATGTTCATGCTTGGAAAGCAAGAACCTGGCTTCAATGGTGGCCAGGTTCTTGCTTTCCAAGCATGAAACATAGCAACTGTGGGACCTGAGGGTAAACCCTCCGCTTCACTTCCAGCTGAGGCGCAGTTCTCATCAACTCGAAATTAAAAATTACTTGCAGTGAAGTGAAGGAGCTGTCGTGCCCTCGCTTCTTCAGCTCTTTCCAGGCTGTGTAGCTTGAACCTGGATTCAATGGATTGGCATGCACCCTACAATGCCTACATGTAAACAGACACCCGTGGGCCTCAGCATGGTGAGAAATTTGCCGCAAATCCGCAAAAAGCGGCCGTTCCGTCTCTTCCACCGGAGCCACGAAGGCATTTCCCTTTGTGTATTGCTGTGAGCATGTCTATGCTGCTAGAGTGGATGACTCTGGGTCTTCTTCTCTGCTCAGAGAAAGCTCAGATATGGAAAAGAGGCCATTGTCTGCCATAGCAGGCCAGGCCAGGCCTTCTTAAGGATAGGAACTTGAAGGGCCTTCTCTTTCCTTAGGGCAGTGAGAGAGCACTTCGACACTGCAGCTGCTGCAGCTGTTGTCCATGCTCTGCTTTGCTCAAACGGTAGCCTGAGGTATAATCCAGGCTGTCGCACAAAGATCTATGAACCAGGTCAAGATTCTATGAACCAGGTCAAGATTCTATGAACCAGGTCAAGACTCTATGAGCCAGGTCAAGATTCTATGTATCAGGTC